GTTAGGTCTGTTCTTGATGTTGATTAGAGCAGTTCTTCAAGGGACAGACAGGAAGGTGCAAACAGTAAGGATTCTGCCCCTTCCCTCCCAGTGCTCTCTGCTCTCCTGTTGCGTCTCGCTGGCATCAGCTGGCACAGCTCGTGTAGCACCTGCTCTTGTGACACTGCTGGATGCCTCTTCTGTGGCCAGCTATTTTTTGAAAACAAAACAGGTATTTTGCTTTGAAAACTAAAGTGTAACTCTCCAAGGCTAGCTTTTCTTGAAGAATGGATTCAGACAGAAATGGTCTTTCTAAATTATAGGTTTAAAATTACCCTTCCATTATCCAACAGCTTGGCACTTCTCCAGAAAACTGAAGACATTTGGAACCTTTTCCACTGAAACGATAATTGCCCAATGAAAACAGGATTTGGGGAAACATAAACTGACATCAAGCTACTCCTTTTTGCTATAAATTATATTGACTCTGCAGTATTGCAAAATTACTTTTGATGATTTGACCATGGAAGAATGTAGTGAAAGACTCTTATTACCACACTCCCATGTGCAGGGAAATTGCAATGCATCTACACAAATCTGAACTTAGATGAGACTTTCCACTGACTTCAAACAGCTCTGCCTTTTGTCCTCAGAGCTGCACAGGCCACTGTTAAAATATCTTTAAGGTGCTTAAGAGCCAGGTGTTTCCTTCGTGTGGCAGGATGGAAGTAACTTTTTCTTCTTCAACCAGATTTTCAGTATTTAGTTTGTTTACTCCAAGCTGCCTCAAAGGCAACGAAGGACAGGAAAGAAAAACTCCGGAGTCTGACTCTGAAAAAGAAATAGGTATTTGTGCAAGGTATGATCTTCCCTATGAAACTACCTGTCACAGGATATCATGAAGGTTTACTACTATGCTGGAAATCATTTAGAGGTTTTTAAGATCTGAATCAGCAAACGGATGTGTGTGTGTAAATAGATAAACAGAGGTGCAGAGATTTGAGAGAGTGTGCTCAGTGCCTAATGGATACTGTCTGTGGGCACTGGAAGTGCCCAAGTGAATCAAAAAAACAAACTTTCCCATGGACTGTGAGCGACTTCTTTGTTTGGCTCAGTTTGCCTACCTACTTTATACTACAGGGTGGAAAGGCTTGTACGTTCCTCTGTGTAAGAGAGTAAAAGATGGATGTTAGTCAGAGAGCCTGTCGGGCTCGTAAAAGTGAACTGTCAGGGGCTGACAACATATGAATGGAGTTACCTTGGAGATGCAGTGGAAGACCAACAACTAGATGTTGAGGTTTTAATGAATGCCTGCCAAGCGAGGCAGAACGTGTGAAAACAGTGTGGTTGGTCCTTGAAACAAAGGACTGAGGTGCTGGGGTGCTGGAGGAACTTGGTGGAGGAGGAGGGATGGTCTAAGGCCACACCTGTAGTCACTGTGGGGCTCTGAGCCTGGAGGAGCTGTTTGGAAAAACTTCTCTATGTGTCTTGTGTGCAGTTGCTCAGGAAACCATTGGCAGGACCATGAGAAGGGGCAGCCTGAGAGTGTTGTGTTGTGCTTGATAAGGGTATCAATAGCCTGCTGCAAACATTCACAGAGAACAAAATCACTTAAATGGCAAGAGTAAGGGATTTGAGGTTATATATACCCTAAATAACTTAGAGATAACTTAGCCCAACTTTCAGATAAAAGCAAGAGCTAATTCCCAGCCCTCTTCTGAAATGATTCTCTGTCCAGTCCCTACTTATAGTATAAACTCCCAAATGCATCCTAGACTGGCTCCACATAAGTTTGAGATGCCTGTGGATCAGTAAAGCAAAGGTTTTCTGTGTGTGTTCAGTAACAGAATGTCACTTGTAGTACCATTGAATCAGCTGAGATAGAGGGAAGCTGAGTGTCTGTAGACAGATGTAGACAGATGTAGACAGGTCTATAGCTGCTGCCTTATTTGCCAAGACACGGGTTAGATGTTATGGGACAAAGGGCTGAGTGCTCAGTTGTAAACTGGAGCTCCTTAACACCTTCTGCAGAGGCTTGGTCTTACTGACACCTTCAGAGTCTGGCTCTTTATTTTTCTAATGTTTCCAATAATACAGAATAGTTCCTTCTGTGGAAGGAAAGCATGGGGCCAGAAGAGCACTGTTTGGGCTGGATTTTTCTTAGTCTTTCAACTCAGCACCAAGAAGTTCAGTCAAACCCCTTCCCTTCTCCTGAGGTGGGCTCCCCAGGGCTTGGTGGGTGGACCAGTGGGAGTATTTTACTGCTGCAGTTTTGAACCTGGTTTTCCCTGGAGTGGTTTGCTTGTCAATAAGGCCAATACTGGTCTCAGGTGTGCTCCAAGAGACTGGTCTTATCCTGAGACTGAGTGGCACAGTGAATTTGCCTCTTTACACAGTGACCTTGTGGTTGGCCTATTTCTGTTTCTAAAAAAAATAATTGAAATTTGTTTTTGGTTTGGTTTTTATTTTTTTCATAATCACTTCCTATCCCTCTACCTGGAGGGTGATTTTTTTTTTCCCCCCATAGTTGCAGTGCTGTCTTCAGGAAAGCCTGTGTTTTGTGACTTTGTCTACTGTGTGGGAGTCTGTAGTATTTATTAGAGCCTTGGAACTGAGCTTGTGACTGAGGCCTGTCAAGGAAAGCTATTCAGATTTGAGACAACTGGGGTTTTGTTTACCTCCACAAGGTAAGGAAAGGAGTAGAATGGGACTCCCTGGCTGCCTTCCCCTATATCAGGTCACACTCTGTGCTAGGTCAGCCAATGCAGGAGCTGGAACTCTTGTCTCAAGTCGCTGCACCATGAGGTTACCATCTGGTGATACCTTATTAAGTGCTGAAGCCATGCATGCTTGCTTTGTCATGGGCTTGGGTGGACATAAGGACTCCCATTACAGAAAGGTCTAGCAGGTCAATCTAGCTTGCTGGTGCATGCCATCAAAGAGGTAGCATCAACACCAAAGTGATTTCTGTGGAAGCTCGGAGAAAGGTTGGAAAAATACTTTGCCTCATGAGAGGATAATTGCAAGTGTTTGCATGTAACAGCCTGGAAGGCCTAAAGTTATAGGTGCTTGCTTGTCTGTGCCAATGGGAGGAAGAGTGTTTGCTGTATCCATGTGTTTTCCTGAGTGGATTAGAGCATTCATGTCAGCAGGGAATTAAGCTCTGTGGGAGTAAGGCTGAAGGGTGTCTGCCTGTCTGGCCATCAGTATGCTGGAGCCTTACTCAGAAATTAGGACCTGACAGATATGCTCTGCTACACAAAACTGAACAGCATCAGTGGTGTTGCCAAATTTAACTTCCAGCCATCTTCCAAACTGTTTCTCATTAGCTGTCCCAGCTGTGTCACTGCTGCTGATGGGAACTGGCCTCCAGAACCTGCTCTGTAAACACACTTTCCAGAGCTCAGCTTGGACAATGGTTATGACTCTGCTGTGAGTCTTCTGGGTCCATCCCTAGGAAAGGATTGCAAAACAGAAGGCTCATATCATTACTGTTTGTTTATGGTGGTTTTGGGAAATGCAGGAGCAGTGTTACAGTTAGGATCTTTCCATTGAAGCCTGCAGATTCTGTGTAGAGAACCTGTCTCCTCTGCACTGCAGTAGCACTGATCTTAGTCCAGAAACAATTTGGGTATTTTTGGCTGCACTTTGGAGAAATTAATTCAGTCTAATGGCATTTCAAAGAGGAAAAACAAAAGTATCTAAGAGCCTGAGGTTTCAGAAGTTGGCTGTTGCACACTGGGTGGAATTCTGAATGGAAAAATCATGTGGATTTCTGCTATGCAGAGCTAGTTGTCCAGACCTATTGCGCTACCTCATGTCAATTAAATACTACATAAAAACTTCAGGATGGCTGCCACTAAATGCCAGCATTCGGTTGCATTTCATAGGTTCAAGGTTGCCTGTAATGCAAGACAGAAATAAATGTGTGTGTTGAATTGCTTTGAATTAATTTCCATTAGCAGTATTAGCTGCCTATTTTGCAAGTGCTTTAGATAATTTAAATAGTATGATAAAAAAGCAATGCTCTCAGAAGGTTGTGAGACAGTTGCAAAATGAAAGCTGTTTTAGGGTGAGTACATGAGATGGCCTGGCAGCTGAGTGTGCCAGTGTGGACCACAGCTGAAGGAGGCTGTAGTGCTTTGTTGTAGGTGTCTGTTGAGCCTATAGTTGTAAAAGGAGGGGAAATGTAGAAGCAGAAGAAATACAAGAAGAATAAGCTTGAACGCTCTTCTGTCTCCTGGATCCCATCTATAATCCACCCAACCCTGTTCCAGTTGTACACATCTAAAAGGAACTTGCTAACTTTCATCATCTTACCAGGCTGTGCCAAGTCCCTAGCTCTAGCATCCGAGGGCACTGGACTTCAGCTTGAGCCCATCCACCCATGCTGTGTGCAGGGGAGAGTGCTGCCTGGTGTTGCCTGCTGGGCTTTGGTCGGCACAGCTGCTTGTGGAAGACAGGGAGCTCAGTCTGTGAATCTCTCCAGCACAACATAGGAAAATCTGATTTCTCTTGGCACTGGGCTGCTGTACATTTTGCATTTTTGTTTGGCTAGTGGAAATCTTGAGAGTGAGTGGGGCGTCAGGCACTTTATGTTGTTGTTGTCACTCAGGAAAGATTTGCTTACTAGTGATTGCTTATTTACTTATTTTAATTAAATTCAAATGGTGGTTTTAGACGCTGAGACTGCCTGACCCTGTGTTTTGTGAAAGTCAGATTGATGCAATAATCTGTGTTTATGAAAAGCTGAAAGTGTGACAAGTACAGTAAATTTTGCAAGGAGCCTGGCTGGAAGGAGATGTTCTTGTCCTTCCTGCCAGGTTGTCTGCATTGGCATCAGAGTGGTGATTCACAGCAATGTGCAGGGAGAAGCAATATTCTCTTCTGTTCTCCATATGGAGATGTCCACTGTAGGTCCCACGGGGAGGATGACTGTTGCTAGCTAGGTCATGTTTGCATGAAGTGCTGGGGGAAGGACCTAATGCAAAACCCCTGACCAAACTTGTGTCCCCTTCCAGAGATGCACTGGATGCTGCCAGCGTGCTGTATAATCGAGTTGATGAGGGCGTTCACCGCCTGGTGATGCTGTCAAACAAGCGCATCCAGGAACTGGAGCTGGTGATGGAGTTTGAGAAAGTGGAAGAGTGTTTTAAGGAGGTAAGGCCTGCCTGCCAGTTCCAGTGACTGCCTGCTCACACCCTCTGACTCTGTCCCACAGCAGGTACTGGGCCTATTGATCCCTTGTGTGAAGGTGTACGGTGATGCTTGCAGACCTTTAAAAAGAAAAACTGAACATAGGAATTTGAGACAGAGTTCTCAGACATGCTGAGAATGAAGCTGCTTATTTGCCTGGTATCTCTTGATGCCAGGTAGAAGTCTCCTGGCTTCTCTCTGGATGTGGACCAGTCAAACCCCAATAACATTTGTGAAGCTTTTCTATACTTAAAGACCATAGTGTAGTGGCTCATTGGTAAGCAATACACTTGCAGGTGGGATGTCTCTTTTGACCTTCCCAGTAAGACTGTTGATGAGCCATTCTTCATGTTCACCTTGAAAAGCAGCAGAGTTATGACAATATGTTCGTGATGAGTCTGCGTGTCCCCTCTGGGCCGCAGCTCCTGCAGGTTTTGCTGTCATCCTGGTGTGGAATGACCATGCCCCACACTGACTACCTATCCCTGCTGTGCACTCTCTTGTTTAGATTCCTGTGCTGTGCTCAGGTCCCTGATATCTGATAAGCACAGGCACACTCCTTCCCCTCTGGGTGCAGCCCCAGGCACACTCAGTCTGCCTCTGGGTGCAGCCCTATATACAGTTTCCAAGCAGAGGAGCTCTTGCCTTTAGCCCAGAAGCCATGCTCAACCTCCCCCACCTCCTGCACTTCTGTAGGACCTTCAACTTCACTTCATATGGTGCTCATTGAAACTCCTTACAGCCATGGGATAATTGAAGCAAACAGGCAGTGGTTTTCAGAGAGACCTTTGAAACCTGCAGCCATGTAGATAGAGAACCTTAAAAAGTAATAAAGTGAGCTCAGGTCCTGTGAGAGCTGATCAGTCCTTTAAGTGTTTCAGTCCCCTGTTCAGGCAGATTCCTAAGCCTGAACTCAACCTTGAGATTATGGAGTCACAGTCTCCTGCACTGTAACTCATCAACAATGAGCCGGCCTTAAAAATCGGTATTAGACCAGTTTCACCATTGCTCTGGATTCTGGGCTCTTCCTCTGAAAGGAACTGGATTTGCAAGGGAGGCTGTAGCCTACCTGTTGTTTTCAACAGGCCAAGACCAGGAGTTTTAATGACTTCCCATTTGGAGGTAGACGCTCAGGCGCCATCCACTATGTGTTCAGGACGAGAAGTGTGATGCAAGAACCTAGTACAGGCTCCCTTAAACACTCAGGTTCCCAATACCAAACAGAAATGAAAAAAAGGCACAAAGGCAGGTTCTGCAACCTGTCCCTGCTTTGAGCTGAACTTTTTTTTTTTGATTGAGTTACACTGAGTGCTCCCAGCTTACTTTGCTTGCAAGTCATGATGTATCAGCTGCTCTTGCTTAGGAGCTCTAGGCAGCAGCAGTGTGCCCCTCTAGGGTACTGAGAATCCACCCCCATCTCCTCTTCTTGCCAATAGGCTTCTTCCGTGGGCATAGTCCCTCTCACAGTCCACAGGACTAGGAGTTTGTCCTTGACTGTGTGATTGAGTTGGGTTATGGATTTAGATGATAGAGGAAAACAGGATGTATAGGCATTAGGAAACACTTAGTCTGTCCCTTCCCCCAGGTGGAGCTGTGCCTGGAGCATTGCAGATGGGTTTACTAGCCTGTTTTTAAAACCCCCTGATGATGGAGATACTGTGTTATCCTACTTGGCCTCCTGTGACTGCTTTGCTTTTGGGACACTCTTGTTAGTCAGTTCTCCACCTCGGCTGAGGATATGGGCTGATAGCTGTAGCGGTGACTGGGCTCCATTGAGGAGCCTGCAGCTGCAGCTCGGCTTTGTGGTGAGCTGCCTTTAGAAAACCAGTGGCTCAGAGTCCCAGAGAACCATGAAACATTGCAGATGGGGAGAATCCATCAGTACATTCACACTGACGTAGTTCACGTCCTGCCAGGCAGAAAAAGGAAGTGATGTAGGAAATCTGGCAGCAAGGAGATTTGATCTCAGTTGGGGGTAACAATAATAGGCATGTCAGGCCAGTCTGCAGATTGTAGAGCTCACATTAGACCATGGCTCACCCGAAACAGAGCCCAAGCAGCTGCTTGCCCTGTTTATGCCTAAGGCTAGTGAGCAATGGCAGAGCTTTGCAATTACTCTGTAACCTGAAGTGGAAAAACTCCGAGCAGGAGGCTGACTGAAATGCTGGGTTGGGGGGAGAAGTCTACACGCACATTCCTTCCAGTAATGAGATGACCAGTGTTATGAGAGCAGTTCCTTGCTCTTTCCACATAAAGACCTACCTTGGTGAGTAGCACAGGGTGACTAATAGTGGGGCTTTTCCCTTTTCTCCTAGGTCAGCAGTTGGATTGAGAATGTTGGCAGAAAACGGCTAAAGGAAAATGTCAACCTGGATGATTCTTTGGAGATCCTGGTTCAAACACAAAAGCAGTTTAAGGAGTTTGATCTTGTTGCCAGTGTAAGTGTTGTATGATTGGAAAAGTATATTCTCTAGAGTCTGAGTTGGTAGCATGTGTGTCCTGTACGTTCTCAGCCAAACCCATGATGCTAAGAGGTTTCATTAGCAAGGTGTGTTATTCCTTCACACTACTTAGCATCTCTGCTCTTCTCTTGTAGGCAAAGCAACCAGCTCAGCACTTTAGTAGATGCATTTGCCAGTCTTGGGGGAAGTAACTACTGGGATGGAAGATGGATATTTTTTGCTTCTCCCTTGATGTGCTTGTAACACTGCCTTTTTTTTGATCCTAATTGACCCATGGCCTTGCTGTGTAGGCTTTTACAAGCTGCTGTGTGACCAGTGTAAATCATAAGAGATCACGGCTCCAGAATTCTGCTGCATACAAGGACATCCCTGCTCATGTGACTTGAACACTAGCAAACTACTCTAGTTAACCCTAGCTGTTAATGACCTGGAAGGCTGTCTACTGTCTGGATCAGGTCTCTGTCCTTATATGCAATCCCATTTTGTTTTTAGGAACACTGCAGGAGGGGACAGGAAGCGTTAAAGAAGATGGATCGATGGGAAGACTTTTCCTCTGTGGATGTGCATTCTTACAGGGTAAAGCTGCAGACATACAGAGATCAGCTGGAGGAGTTCTGCACTCAGCTGGATGAAACCAGGCACCGAATCTGTGAAACAGTCAGGCTGTATGAATTCTTTGACAAGGTAAGACAGGAAGGTAAGACAGGGCACCTGCTGCACAGAGGAGAGTGTAAAAAAAACCTGCCTGGACTCAGCCCAGAGCTGGGTTGTGAAAGGTATGAAACGTAGTTTGTGCAGCAGCAAGAAACAGGATCTATGACCTGCTAAAGTCCTCTCATGCTCGTGTGTCTGGAGTGATTTTTTTCTAGTCCATGGAAGAAGGTTTGGGTGTGTATTCTAGACAATGGCCACATCTGTTAAGCACAGAGGTTTTCTGCTGTCTGATCTGGAGCTTTTAGACCCCTTTCATGGCCACAGTGGGTAGAAGGATCATGGCAGTGCTGGCTCTGATGACAAGGGTCAAGAGATTGCCTGCTTTTGTCCAATCTTGGCCACCCTGCCAGGGGAGGCTGCCTGCATTTTGTTCATACTATAACCTTACACACTAGTAAAATCAGCCTGTTGACCTGAACACCCAACTCCTCCCTTGTGGAGGCCTGCATGAGGGAGTGAAGCACCAGAATGGGGTGCTGGGAAGTGTGGCTGAAGGAACAAGGGGACCAGGTTGTCCCAGGCATCTGGGAAGTAGGGGGAGAGGATGTGTGTGGTGACTGTGCTGAGTGCCTGACCTTCCCACCTGTTTGTTTTAGTGCAAACTCACCTATTCAGCAGACCTGCAGTTCAATTTGGTGTTCTTTCATTTCTAAAGTTGCAAATGAATAAACAGTAGGATTTTCTAAGTGCATTTTAAAATATAGCTTTGGCAAGCACATAAGGCCAAGGGAGCCTGTGCTCCATTTATTCCACACTTGTACAAACATTGGGTATTGAAGTTCTCAAATTCCAGAAAGAATAGACACTAAAAGTTAAGCTGTACCAGATGTAGGTGCCACTTAGTTGCTGTTTCTGAGCTGCCTTGGCAGTCAGAAGTGCTCAGGGGAGGGGGAAGGAAATTCAGCTAAACACAAAAACATGGAGAAGCATCCTGTGCAAGGCAGGAAAGTGGAGAAGGCAGCCCAGAACATTACTGTCAGGGCATGTGAGGATTGAGTTTGTTTGGTGAGGCTCTGCAGGTCTGCTCTGGCTCATCTGCAGTTTGCTGTGCAGGTGGGGGACCCTGGTGCTGTGGGAATGTGTAAATTTTTTTTACCCCCAATGGAGAGGAAAGTGCCTCCTGTGCCATAGGAGAATAACAAGAACCTGTGCTGTGCTCAGTCACTGAACACAGACCTTCAGGGGCTGCGCTGGTCCCCTTGCCATCGTGGGGGATTCTGGGAGGGATCCTGAGAAGGGTGGGTTTTATCATGTTTCTTCTGATAAGCTGAGGCACACAAAGGCACCAAGACTTGCTTAGCATATTGGCAGTTCTGTGGCCAGGCCAAGCACTGGTCCTGTATGAACCCACCCAGCCAGAGCCTGAAGTCTCTGGAGTACAGATGTGGACTGTAACACATGATCATAGAACCACAGAATGGTTTGGACTGGAAGAGACCTTAAAGGAATCATCTAGTTTCAACCCCTCTGCCATGGGCAAGGATGCCACCCACTAGACCAGGCTGTTCAGAGCCCCATCCAACCTGGCCTTCCAGGGATGGGGCAGCCACAGTTTCTCTGGGCAACCTGTGTCAGTGTCTCACAACTCTGACAGGGAAGAATTTCTTCCGAATAACTAATCTAACCCTGACCTTTGTCATTTTGAAGTCATTCCACCTTGTCTTGCCATTCCATGCCCTTGTCAAAAGTCCCTCACCAGCTCTCTTACAGCTGCTTTAGGTACTGGAAAGTGCTCTGAGGTCTCCCAGGAGCCTTATCTTCTCTAGACTGCTCCATGCTCTGTTCAGCCATGGAAACTACATCATGGTGGTAGCTCTTGGGCTGCTGGGGTATTTGGACATGACTCAACAGCAATGAGTGTTCCTCCACAGCTTCAAGGCCTTTCAAAGCCTAGGTCATTCCTAGGGGCACAAGTGGTACACAGACTCCAACAGTGGCCTGTTTCTTTTCTGAAGGCATGACAGCTTTTTTTGGGTGGATGAAAACTGTGGGATGCAGTCCTTGGCAGCAGCAGCATCCCACTTGGTTGTGCCTTTCATGTTGCACAGCCCCGGTGAAAACTGAATGATAGTGGCACAGTATGTTTGCACACAGCTTTGGTGTGGAGGAGAGGCAGCTGGCCTAGGGAGGGGGGAGGATTTTGATCTCACTGGTTTCAGTAGAACTATAAACAATGCTGGTGGTGTAAATATACCACGTGTGTATTGTGAACCAGTGGCCAACCGAAACCAGGAGTGTAGAGGGATACATCCTGCACTTGTAGGACCAGTGCAGAAATTGCTGTGCAGCATGAAAGTTCTTTCAGTGCCTGTGATTTTGATCTTGATCTCCAGAATGCGTTCTGCCTTCCCAAACCAAAGTCAGTGGCGTGGTCTGGGAGGTGGGGGATAAGCCAAAGATTTTTTTCTAAACTGATTTCACTCTCTTCTGATCCTGAGCTGCTTTGACTTTCCTGCAGTGATCTTGTCAGTGCCTGCCTGATCCTCTTCTCGGTTCCCTAATATCTGAGGGGATATCAACAGCAGGAGTCTACAATAAGCAGTGTCCTTGATTTTCCCTCTTGTAAAGAGCCTGCAGTGTGCCAGGATTTGGGGAAGAAACCCAAGGATGCGTAAGCAATGTACAGTATGGTAATGAGCTGGCAAGCTCAGATCTCTCCAAACATCTCAGCATGTGCGCCAAGGGAGTGGAGTGTCCACCACAGGGATCACAGTATTCATCCTCACGAACCTCACTGTCTGCTGGGAATGGGAGGCTCCATTCTGCTGGCCCTTTGCGTGTGGTGGGTGAGTGTTTTGTAGGGTGCAGCCTGTGACTGCTGGACAGGCCATGGGACAGGACAGCACAACCACATATGGCCCATCAAGATGCTGTACTGTTTTTTCACTGCTTGGCAGTTCCTGTCAGAGCTCCCTGCGATGAGGCAGGCTGAGCTGGGCCAGACCACATGGAGCTTGCACATGGGCTGGCAAAGTTCCCTCCCCAAAGCCATGACTGGTGCCAAGCTGGATGTTTCCATTTGTCCCCACTTCCTTTGTGGCAGGAGCCCTTGGTGCCTAACAGGGGCTGGATGGTGGTTGGGCTGAGGCAGGAGGAGCGGTGAAGGAAGCGCCTTCCCCACCTCTGTCTGTGGGGCCGAGGATTGTTTTTCAGTACCACAAACTCAGTGTGGGCACACTCAGGCACCTGCCATCCTCCTGTGGCTTCAAGCCTGGTCTGGCTGCTGTCCCCTGTTTACTCAATTCCAAGACTTCCTTGAGATCTGGCACCACACAGTGCTTTGGGGGTGAAGTGGGAAGCTGAACAAGCAAGGGTGTGTATGGTGTACCAAAAGCATTGATGTCTCTTCTGTTCTGGGGTGCCCTCAAGGACAGTCTCCACTGCCCTTCTCTCCTGCTGTCTGTCTTGGCTTCACAGTAGCACTGCCATAAGTAC